TTGCCATTGGTTTTTAACACACGCTTGTAATTAATAATCAATGTCCACTTTAACGCAAACATGAAGAAACAGGTGTTTTTCGTGACCTTACTTACATGACCATGCCGTTTGATCTTTATTCCACGGAAAAACGATTTCACATCCATCGGGAGCACAATAATTTTCCCTGTCTAACGATGTTCGTTTCGAGTTGCTACGACATCTATAAGTGGAATTATAGACGACTCGCGTTTTACCGGCCAGCGTTATATTCACGAGTTGTAGATAAGCAACCGCGCGACGCACGACTGGAATGCGGAATACGACAATTACGTAGTCACCTTACGCTGTACGCGACGTCGCGCGATGGTACGGCTCACTTCCCCCTCCCCTCCCCCCACTACGCCGCGGCGCAGCAAGCACGGAGTCGTCCCCTCCTTCCCGCTCGCGCGGCCCGCGGTCACTCACCTCGTTTTAGTAGCAAACAAGGCGCCGGCGCGAGAGCAAGTGTACAAGTGCGAATTTCGCGAGCAAATCTAATGTCAATCAAAGCCGTGACTTTAAACGCTCCTAACTCGCGAATACTAAAAAAATGGTTTTGTAGTTGTAGTGAAAATAATCTAGATACGAGATTAGAAATTAGCTAAGATATATGTGATTGGCAAATACCGCGATATCGTGTACATTTTGTATTTAATTGACACAGATGGCAATGACGGAACTTGCATCTAAACTGTTTGTGAAATTTAACAAGAAAGTTTCTTTCTCTCTCTGTAGCGTCCATTCGGATTAAAGTCAATCACACTTCGTATAAAAATTGGCTGTGATTAACAAAAGTCTAGCGACGAGAAATAAACGAATAATTACCTTACTTACTCGCAACCTATCTAAATTTACTCGCAGATATTTCTAGAATGTTGCTGTTGCTATTGTAAATTTGGTGTGTACCACAACCAATTTTCTAGCAGACACAAAAGTAATAATAGACTTTATTAACATGTGACATTTAACTGTGACATTTAGAATTCTACCTAGATCAGTGCGATTTTTTTTTTAGTGAATAAACCGACGTAGTGAGTGAAAAAGAAATTTCTTGAAAAAAAACTGCTTGAGATTCGCGCGCATAAGATATTCAGAAATACTTGTCACTTTCTTCTAGCCATTCCCAGCAGACAAATGTATGCTTTTCGTCTCAACTAATAAATATTTAACGGCGAATATATCTTACCGATAAAAAAATCAGCCTTTTAGTTCGAATCAGCCACTAAAATTTAACTAATATTCTACTAAATAATTTCTTTGTGTGTAGTACACAAGTTCGTTGAAAAATATCGTGTGTAAAGTTGAGTATTTAAATATATATATATATATATATATATATATATATATATATATATATATATAT